CTGCCATTTTTTTAAAAAAAATTAAACTGGGTATTCTACAGAAGTGAATGGAAAGGATGAATGTATGCCACAGAGTATCCAGGTGATGAAATCAGCAGCAGTTGAGGCAAATGAAAACTTGATTTTATTATAGCTTCCAGGGAAAGAGCAGCCCTTGGTCCAAAATTAATCCATTTTCCTGCATGCTAGCAACATATAATAGAGCAATCCTGTGGGAACATGGAATATGTCTTGTGGAAATGCAAACTCATGATGACTCCTGCTCCAAGCCCTGCACAGGCCATGTTATTTCAGCTCAGAAAATTCAATTACTAAAGATCAGTTGCTCTAGACACCTTGTCCCTTATTTATTAAAGGCTGACCTTCAAGAGCAAAAGAAGTTGGCTGAATTTGAGTTTCTTCTCTTCCAGTGAACTGGCTACTGTTATAAACTGGTTTCTTCGGTCTAATTGCTTTAAGAAAAAATCTTGGTTTCTCCACCAACTGTTTCTCCTTTACTTTGGTTTCTTATACTAAAAAGGGAAAGGGTGGAAGGAAGAGAGGGAAGATAAATTCAAAGATGGATATTAATAAAGAAAATTAGTATTGTGTATTAATAATACTAATAGTTAATCTTTACAATCAATGCCTGAAGGGATTCTCAATCTTCCAGGCCATGGTTGTCCCAACCTTTTGGACTTTATAATCAATAAAATATTCATAAACAGACTGACCCCAAAAGCTTCTCTCTCTCTCTCTCTCTCTCTCTCTCTCTCTCTCTCTCTCTCTCTCTCTCTCTCTCTCTCTCACTCACACGCACACACACACACACACACACATACACACAGACACACACACATCTAATTAGCTTATCTATATTATAACTACCTTATCTATCATCTATCTGTGTAATATTTTATTAATTTTATATAAAAATCGTTTATGTACAAAGCAGTTTCCAATGACAGAATTTCCCAACCTTTTCGGTTTTGCAGATCGGGGGGGGGGCAGAGAGGGGTTGATTCTGCGTGAGTGGCAGGCAAGCATATGCACAACTCCATTTGCACGCACACCTGCCTCTCAACGAAGCATGTGTGTGCCCACTCACCTGCTGTTCGCGCAAATGAGGACGCACTTATGTGCGCTCGCCAGCTATTTTCATGGCCCAGTTGCAATCCCCTCATGGCCCACTAGTGGGCCGTGGCCAGTGGTGGGATTCAGCCGGTTCGCACCACTTCGGCAGAACCGGTAGCTAATTTTTTGTTGCCCAGGCCCAGAATGGACTTCCGGAAGCGGCATCCACACAGAGAACCGGTTATTCACGTATTTGAATCACACCACTGGCTGTGGCCCACAGGTCGGGGACCCCTGTCCTAGGAGACCTGACAGACTAGCATGTGGTCTTTAGACCAAGTACTGCAGTTAGTCATGAAACCTGGATGGTTTGGTTACATTCACAGAACAAGCTAGGCACAAAAAAACCCTGAAAACAAAGTTAATGCCAAACTGACATATTGTACCAGCATGCTACTAAAACAAAGGCAGCCAGATCAATCCCACTGCTTAGTTTTAAAGCTTGTTATATTCATAGACTGCTCAACAGTACAATGCAACAATTCGGATTTGAAGGGGAAAAGATGGGAGTGGACTATACAGGTAATCGGACTTAGGCACAACTGAGCCCAACATTTCTGCTGCTAAGTAAGACAATTATTAAGTGAGCTTTGTCCCATTTTGTGACTTTTCTTGCCACAGTTGTTAAGTGAATCACCACCATTGTTAAGTTAGTAACACGGTTGTTAAGTGAATGTAGCTTCCTCCGTTGACTTTATTTGTCAGAAGGGGTCACAAAAGATGATCACATGACCCCAGGACATTGCAACTGTCATAAGTACATGCCTGTGGCCAAGCGTTCTGAATTCTGATCATGTGACTACGGAAACGCTGTCAGAGCTGTATGAAAAATGGTCATAGTCACTTTTTTCAGTGCTGTTGAATCTTCGAATGGTCACTAAATGAATGACTGCAAGTTGAGAACCATCTGTACGTTCAAAGGAGAATATCTGAAGGATCTGTTAGCAACTCTTTAAAGAAGTCCTGTCTTCTCCCAGTTCACAGCACAACATAACAGCTGCTTAGCAACATCACTTGAACTCAGCTTGTTTTCATCTGTCCTGTTTTGGTAACCTTCCTATTTACTATTGCGTTAATTCATTGTGTGAGAACTCTGGCACCCATTGGTCCTTCTGTCATCCATGTGCCATTTTATCCCCAACTCGGCTGGAATTGTGATCCCAATACAGCCCATGTGAAACATAGCATGTTGGATAACAAGCACATGCTTTATTGTGGGGGTCCTCGGTGCTCTCTGAGCTTGGTTGTTGTTTTCTTGTACACATTTCATTACCCAACTAGGTAACATCGTCATTTCCCAGTTGGGTAATGAAATGTCTGCAAGCAAACAAACAAGCTCAGAGAGCATTGAGGACTCCACTGTTTACCCTGAGCTACACATATTGTCTTCTATTGATACACGTTTCGTTGCTCTTTGTTGGAGGCTTCAAGCAGAGGGTGAAACATCATCTGCACGAATGCTCTGGCACAGTGTTTTTCAACCTTGGCAGCTTTAAGACGTGTGGACGTCAATTCCCAGAATTCCCCAGCCAGCTGTGCTGGCTAGGGAATTCTGGGAGTTGACGTCCACACATCTTAAAGCTGCCAAGGTTGAGAAACACTGCTCTGGCAGATTCTGCCTTAAGATCCTTCCCTGTTGCAGCACCCGCCCTATGGAAGATCATTCCCCTGAGGTTTTGATGGCCCTGATTTTTCTGTCTTTCCACAAGGCTCTAAAACTTGGCTCTTCCCCCAAACATCGGGCCAAATCATGAGATGAGTCTATATAGCAGTGTTTCTCCAACTCAACTTTAAGATGAATGGGCTTCAACTCTCAGAATTCCCCAGCCAGCTGGCTGAGGAATTCTGGGATTTGAAGTCCACACATTCTAAGTGTCTATGGCAGGGGTCTTCAAACTTGGCCCTCTTATGGCTTGGGGACTTCAACTCCCAGGCTGATGAAGTCTGGGAGTTGAAGTCCACAAGTCATAAAAGGGCCAAGTTTGAAGACCCCCTGGTCTATGGAGATTAGCAGTCATCCAGGTCATAGTTATCCCAAAGATGCTTTTTCACGAGGCAATTGGACCTCCTTGTTTTTCTTTGAAGAAGTTTTGCTTCTCATCTAAGAAGCTTCTTCAGTTCTGACAGAATGGTGTGTGGGGTGTGTGCTTGAGGTGTGGGGAAACTGAGTCAGAATTGAAGAAGCTTCTTGGATGAGAAGCAAAATGTCTTCAAGGAAAAGCAAAGAAAGTCCAGTCACCTTTTAAGAAAAGCACCTTTGGGACAGCAGCTCTGTCCCATGTTTTCCTGATCAGTTTTCCTCTTTGGAGGCAAAATGGACATCTTGGAGCCAACATCTCCAGGAGCTTCCAGATTAGGCCAGCAGGAGGAAGCAAATTTTAAACACACGCTTTCAACCCCCTCCAGCCTGTTGCAGAAATGCTAGGGAAGAACCCTGCTCCCCATACCCCCCATGTGGGATGGGTTTCGTAGGAGGAAAGTCACGTTGGTTTACGGTAGCCCAAACTCGGTCTGCTAGCACTTTTTGTTCACAAAAATTTCAGTCTTTTAATAAAAGGTGACTCAGCAAAGGTGTTACCACGTCTTTATAATGGGGCAGGTATGTGGGTTTTTTGCCTTTGCTGAGAACTGTCAGGAAAGGACTCCTTGGATGGAAATTCCAACGTTCCAAGTTTCAAAACTTTTTTGGGGGATGAGAGATTCCATTCAGTTCAAGAGGGGAAGCTTCAGGTAAGCACCCTCCACCCCGTCCCAAAGGTAACTTTTTCCCAAAGGCAACTGGACTTCCTTCGTTTTTCCTTGAAGACGTGTCGCTTCTTATCCAAGAAACTTCTTCAGTTCTTCCGAAGTCCAGTTGCCTTTTGAAAAAGCACATTTGGGACAACCATGACCTGGACGACTGAGAATCTCCACAGATACCCTCCATCCTGATGCAACAGCTTTATCCTTATGGCCGAGCTTAATGGATAAAGAACTTGGGAAAAAATGGAACTTTGATATTATATGTCCTGACAGCAGCAAGAATACTTTATGCACAAAAACAGAAGGATACTTTGGGACAACCTGCCTCCAGAAGCAGTGAACGCTCCAACATTGGAGGTTTTTAAGAAAAGACTGGACAGCCATTTGTCCGAAATGGTATAGGGTTACCTGCCTGAGCAGGGAGTTGGACTTGATGACTTCCAAGGTTCCTTCCAACATCATCATCATCATCATCATCATCATCATTACTACTACTACTACTACTACTACTACTACTACTACTACTACTACCACCACACTGGATGGATGGCTGAAAAAGTTGATGGAATTAGCGCAGATGGCTAAATTGCCTGTTTTGATTAAAGAAAAGAATACAATTCATATGGCTTCTACTTGGAAACCGCTTTTGGACTTTGTGCTTGAGGTGGGAAAAAAACAAACTTCGATTTTGGGTTTTGCTGATTAGATAGGATTGCTGTTATAGAAATGGCTAGTGTATATTTTTATGCAAAAGTAAAAAGTTAAGGTTTTATGTTATTACCTTATTCTACTGTGCCAAAAGGAGTTGGAAGTCAACATTTTTTCTTCTTCCCTTTACACTTTTTTCTCTCCCCCTTTTCCTTACCTATTTTTCCATTACTTTCATTTTTCTTTGTATTTCTGCATCTTCTAGTTTGATAAACTAATAACAAATACTTGAATCCCTAATCCTTATGGCCGAGCATCCACAGCAGCGTTTCTCATTTACCTAAATGCAGTTGTCACCCTTCTTGGAACTGACCCAAATCTTAAGTGTTAGGAGTCAGATATTCAACTGCTGTTGCCCAGCCAGCTGAATCCATATAACTGCTGGAGAGCAACTCCTTTGAACATCTGGCAAAAATGATGGGATGCAGACCGCTTACTTTGTCCATCACCCAGTCGGCATCTTGGATGGCCCTTTTGATAATTTGCTGGATCCTCTCAGGACTGTCTTCATCAGCATGAACTTTGAAACTCTGTAAATAAACAATTATATAAATAAATCATCCCTGCCACCACGGGTTAGTAAAGTAGCAGGCAATGGCTCGTACCATTGCTGATGGGAGAAGTGAAGGATATTTACTCAGACAATTCAGACAGCAACCCTATTGGTGAGATGGACAGCATATTGTTTTTCTTTTTAATGACCTTGTAATCCCTTGCATGGGGTGGAGTTGGGGTGACTGAATAGAGCTGAGCGCTTGCTGGTCGGATGCCGTTCCTGATGCCTACGCGGAGGTCAATTTTCGCTTTGTGCCCAGAGAGAAATATCTGCAACTACCTAGGATTGAACTCACAGACTCCTGATTGTGAGGCGAGAGCTCCATGTCACTTGGTGAAATGGACAGCATATAAATTAAATTAATTAATTAGAAACCTTTCTTTAAAGGGCCAAAGTCCTAGTGACCACTGCTTTGCCACAGATGATTGAATAACCAGAACAATTTGTATCCACACTTCATTTTATTCTCAACCACCTTTTAAGGGAGATGACATGTACACACATGTAACACCTCTGCTTTGCAAGCTGCTGTAGTTACCAGTAGGTTTCTGACTTCAATTCATGGTCAGCACTTCAAGGCATAAGACCTGGCTGGTTGTCTGAGGGTCCTCATCTCTACACTACTTTCTGCCAATAGAATAGAATAGAATAATAGAGTTGGAAGAGACCTTGGAGATCTTCTAATCCACCCCCCTGCTCAGGCAGGAAACCCTATACCAGGGCTTTTCAACCTTTTCACCAATTGTACCACTTTTAGGATATGGCAGTTTTCTAGTACCACCTAGCAAGGTGTCAAAAACTTGGTGACCAAAAAAAAAAAAAAAAAAACCTGTTGAAAGTTGCAATTGCACTGAAATGACTTATGACCATTTTTCACACTTACGAACATTGCAGTATGCCCAGAGTCATGTGATTTATATTTGGATGCTTGGCAACTGATTCATATTTATGATGGTCACTGTGTTCCAGGGTCATGTGATCCCCTTTTGCAATCTTTTGACAAGCAAAGTCAATGGCAGAGCTGCTGGTGGCCAAGTGCTAAGGCTGGACTTCCCTCCCTCCCTCTTTCTCATTCCCATCTCCTTTTGAATTTGAACCCCCCCCAATATTTTCTCTCTTCCATATATTTGTCAAACAAGGGAAAACCTCCAGAGACAGAAAAGACAAGCTGCTCAGTGAACTAGCTTAAAAAGGCACATTCCCCTTTAAGAATTAGCTACTGGCTAGAAAAGAAAGTTAAGCAGCCAGCACTTAAGGAAGAAAAAAAAAAGTAGTTAAGTACTGGCTGCTGGCTAAGGTAGCCTTGCCAAATGGCTCCATTCTTTAGTAAAGGAATGCTACAGGCAAAATCCATTCAGCAGAAAAATACTTCAAAATCCCTTGCAACAAAACTTGCAACAATAGCAGAGCAATAGAAGCTAACAGCAGCCATCAGCCAAATAGAAATTGCCAAACACTCCTTAAGAACAGAAAGCCCACATTGTACAAATCCCAGGACTTCAAAGTCACAAAAGCATATAAGAATCCTTCCACTCTCCATCTCCCGACCTCACCTCCAGCCATTGCTGCCTTTTTTCACTCCTCTTGGAGGGCGACCCCTCCCCCACTGCATTTCTTGCCTGTTTGCTGCTGCCAGCACAGGGGGCTTCCACAGCAGTTGTAGATCAGCTCATGGCCAGCCTGCTTGATCTCCTCTCCCCCCACCCTCCTCCTCCTCCTCCTCCTCCTCCTCCTCCTTCTTTCCCTTCAGTGCAGCTAGAGCTGATTCTGCCTCCTCCCAAGGCTGCTGCTTTTTTTTCTCTCCCTCTCCCACCCAAACTGTCTCCTTTTATAGCCTCTCCTGTCTCCATCCCCTTCCTCCTCCTCTCTCATGGGGGAGGGTGAGCAAAAAGTGAGCCTGGGGCCTTTGCCTTGCCCCAGCAACTCTGCTGCTGCAGAGGACTCTCTCACAGTAAGTCCTTGTCTGCGCTGTCCCTCCCCCACTACACTTGGCTAGGCAGGGCTGTGTACCACCTGACACTTGTTAATGTACCACAAGTGGTACACGTACCACCGGTTGAAAAGCCCTGCCCTATACTATTTCAGACAAATGGTTGTCCAGTCTCTTCTTAAAACTTCCAGTGCTGGAACAGTCACAATATCTGGAGGCAAGCTGTTCCACTGGTTGATTGTTCTAACTGTCAGGAAGTTTCTTCTTAGTTCTCGGTTGCTTCTCTCCTTGATTAGATTCCACCCGTTGCTTCTTGTCCTGCCTTCTGGTGCCTTGGAGAATAGCTTGACTCCCTCTTCTTTGTGGCAGCCCGAGATATTGGAACACTGCTATCATGTCACCCCTAGTCCTTCTTTTCATTAGACTAGACATACACAATACCAGCAACCTTTCCTTATATGTTTCAGCTCCAGTCACCTTCAACTCCCAGAATTCCCCAGCCAGCATGTCCACAAGTCTTAAAGTTGCCAAGGATGGATACCCCTGTTCTAGGCCTTGGCAAAAGCAGTGATGGCCCTCTTAAAGGATGTTTGGTCTATTAGACTGTGTGGTGCTTTTTCTAGACTTCCCCCCTTCCCTCGTCCTTTTAAGGTATCCATATTGCATTTCTCATTCTGTAAGCCACGCAGAGCCTACCCATGTCATCAAATAATCAGTTTTGAAAAACCATTGGTCCTACTCCATTGCTTTTCTGAGCATTGGGAACAAGAGTCACCCTGGGCAGCAATAGGTGGCTGTTAGATGCTATTAGAGAAGGAAAGAGTTTAAGATGACAGAGGCAAGTACAGATCCTTCTGAGTCTCCCCCCCCCTCCCTCCCTCTCTCTCTCTCTCTCCCTCCCTCCCTCCCTCCCTCCCTTCCTCCCTCCGTGTGTGTGTGTGTGTGTGTGTGTGTGTGTGTGTGTGTGTGTGTGTGTGTATGTATGTGTGTGAGACAGAAAGAGAGAGAGAGATATCAGCTGTTGCTGCCTTCCATCTAGCTATGTGGAAATTTACATAACCACACAAAGCCAGGAGGGACCAACCATAACCAATCAGACCCAAGTGAAAGGAAGAAAGACAACCGACAACAGAAGTTGTTTCTGATGGCCAAAACAACAACTGGGAGTTTTTTTTCCTTGCCTAACCCTAACCTTATCTAAAGAATAAAGAGAGAGTGAAATTTTGTTTAAGCCCCAGAACTATTTGGAAATGGTTCACATACTGTAAACACCTTCCTAGAGTATAAGAAGGAAGGGAGGTACCGCACAGTCAGGTTTGCAAGATACGATTATTAAACGCAATCTCAATGAAAATAGTTTCAGCCTTCCTTTGAAGTTAATTTATTCATCTGGTTTTTATTTCTCTCCTCTATGAGTAGACAATTGAGGGAATGTTCTAATCCAGGGGTCTTCAAACTTGGCCCTTTTATGACTTGTGCAATTCCCAGAATTCCTCAGCCACTTTAAACTTTAAGAATTGTGGACATGCTGGCTGGGGAATTCTGGGAGTTGAAGTCCTCATGCCTTAAAATTGTCAAGTTTGGGAAACACTGGTCTAGATCAACTTCAGAAAAGGCACCAAGGAAAACCACAGAACGGCGCCCAGCATACCTGTCGGATTGTGTGCTTGTAATGATCCTGGAGGTTTTTTTCAGGAAGGACCCTGCAGCAACGGAGCAGGTAGCGGTACAGCTGTAAAGGGGTCTTCACCAAGTCTACCCCTGGGAGAGGAGCCATCCTCCACCATCAACTATGGAAAGAAAGAAGACAGCGTGATGAAGCTGAGCCATTTTCTAGATTGCTCAGATTGCATGAGGAACCCCAATGCCTGCAACAGAGAAGGTGTAGATGATGGAACTGTTAGCCCAGGGATATCTTGAGGTTGTGGCTGAAATCAAGAGCTCAGGGTTTGAAAGAGCCTCCCTTGCTTTGGGCCTCCTGAACTCCTTGAACTACAATTCCCAGAGTTTTTAACCTGCATAGTGATTGGCTATTCCTGAAGTTGCAGTATGGTGCAGTATGGTGCATCTTTGGGCACCAGATGAGAAAATGCACTTTAGTAGGAGAGGAGGGACTTCATTTGTGGCCACCCACTGTTTACATTTTGGAATCCTTTGGGAACATGGCCAGTCTCTTGCAATGGGCAGGGCCTCCAGGTGTTATGGTTCCGGCTAATGAAACACTTCAAAGAACTTCCAGGCATTTATTTTCCTAAAAGTCTTTTATTGTTGCAAAATGTCCGCACAGGCATAACGGAGGGATGTTAAGATCTAAGTTCTCTTCCTCTGAGCAGTTAAAGAAGAGTAGAGCAGGGGCGGGTCCTCCCGACGTCCTCCTGTATGGGGGGTGTAACCTGGACGACAGGTTCCTGCATGAGTCGGTTGGATTTTTCTCTTGTTAGCCGCTGAGCAGGTTTCTTTCGCATTGCTGGTTCTGGTCTGCTCTGCAGTCGGGGGTAGGGGACTGGACACCAGGGCCACACCATAAGCCACAGAGCAGAAGGTGATGGGAGTTGAAATGTTCCTTTAATAGGTAGAAGGAATGACCTTGAGGAACAGGAGGAAGAGCCATTACCAAGACAACGGTCAGATAAAAGAAGCCTGAGTCCAGAACCAAACGGTAACCTGAGCAAACATCTCCGCCAAGGCCTCCATAGTTCTCATGAAGATACAGGGAGGAAGGGGGAAGCACATTCAAATTTGCAAGATTTGATTTCTATAACCTCATACAGGTAATCCTTGACTTACAATCCTTTGTCTAGCGACAGTTCAAAGTTACAACAGCGTTGAAAAAAAATGACATAACTGTTTTTCACACTTACGGCTGTGGCAGCACCCCTGGGGCCCCGTGATTAAAATTCAAATGCTTGGCAACAGGTTCATATTTATGACGGTTGCAGCGTCCCGGGGTCATGTGATCACCTTATGCAACTTTTTGAAGCCAGATTCCAACAACCATGTTACTAACTTAACAACTGCAGTGATTCACCAAACAACTGTGGCAAGAAAAGTCATAAAAAGGGGCAAAACTCATTTAACAACCGCGTTGCTCAGCAACAGAAATGTTGGGCTCAATTGCGGTCGTAAATCAAGGACTAGTTGCAATAAAAGTTACAGCAGCTTGCATGACTTTGGTTTTCTAGTCTGGAGAGTTCCAGAGAGATCAGGAGGTGCTGAATCAGGGAAGAAATGGGATTACATATAAACATTAGGATGTTATTCCTAGGGCTTTTCAACAGTGGTGCAGATGACATTGGAAAGGTGACAAGCATTTTATTAATGAGAATTTTTAAACAGAGCCAGAATCCCATTTTAGCAGATTCCTTGGCAAGGGCAATAAGCCAAATTAGCCCACAACACACAAATGCACAACCCAGGTAGTACTCAAATTACGACAATTGAGCCCCAAAGTTCTGTTGCTAAGTGAGAGGGTTGTTAATGAGTTTTGCCCCATTTTACAACTTTTCTATCTTAACAAGCCACACTTGTTAAGTGAAGCATTGCACCTGTTAAATTAGTACACGGTTGTTAAATGAAACTGGCTTCCCCATTGACTTGGCTTGTGCAAAGGTCTCAAAGGGAGATCACATGATTCCGGGACACTGCATCCGTCATAAATATGGGTCAGTTGCCACGCATTCCTATTTTGATCACGTGACCATGAGGAATGCTACAACAGACGTGTGAAAACCGGTCATGTTCACTTTTTTCAGTGCTGTTGTAACTTCAAACGGTCACTAAATGAACAGTTGTTAAGTGGAGGACCTCAGAAACTGCACCCGAAACCCAACAAAGCAGCCCACGTATTAACTGATACAAATTGCTGCTCACATGCAACCCCCCGTGGTTGTGGGTCCTTACGTCAGCTGCCAAAAAAGCTTCCGGTTAGTCAGGAGAACTGTGCGGTTTTTAGGAAATGACTCAACAAGCAGCACACTCACAATCCTCCTTGTGGATTTTCTCTTTAATTAGCATATAAACAAGAAGCATTTCTTTCTGCAGTTCAGATCAAAGAGCAATTTCCTAAGGCAGAGGCCCCAACCTTTGAGGCACCAGGGACCGCTTATGTGGAGAGAGGTTTTTTCGTAGACCGGAGGGGGCGTGGTTTTGTGTGCTGCCTGTATCACGCGGATGGGGCTTTGCTTGTTTGTGCGGACAGGTTGCTGGCATACCATGGCCTGGTACTGATTCACGGACTCCTGTCCTAAGGCATTCACACCGGTCTCTGCTGGAGTCTCTCACCTTCCCTTGTCCTTCTGGTAAGCAGAAGACACCAAAAACAAAGTCACAGTGATATTGACCTCTGAAACCCCACAAGGCTTGGCACTCAGGTATAGCACCTGCAGGTCTATTGACTTGAAAGGGATTCAACTCATACTGGAATATTCTTTATCGGCCAGGTGTGATTGGGCACACAAGGAATTTGTCTCCAGCATAAGCTCTCAGTGTACATACAAAGAACAGAGTGATAAGTCACAGATCATAAGTCGTGAGATATAATCATAAATCATAAGGTACAAACAACAAATGATAAATCATACAAATAGGAGAAGGTGAGAAGATGAAAAGGATACTAGCAATACAGCCCTACTATATGGGTAAATATCTTTAGGCCTAAAACAGGGCTGTGGGAATTAGGTGTTTAACAGAGTGATGGCACAAAGGAATAAACTATCTATGTGGACATGCTGAAGTTCTGTTCCCTCCCAGATTTGGGGATGACAAATTTAGTGATTTTCAAGACCAAAAGCCATCCTTTGGAACAGGGGTCTTCAAAACTCAGCCCTTTTATGACTTGTGGACTTCAACTCCCAGAATTCCTCAGCCAGTTTGCCTGGTTGAGGAATTCTGGGAGTTGAAGTCCACAAGTCATAAAAGGGTCAAGTTTGAAAATCCCTGCTTTGGAATAACCTCTAGCTGGAGATATGAATGGCACCTCTGTTCCCTGAGCTTTAGGGAGATCTGAAAACAGGGCCATTTAGTAGTATCCTACTACTGGACACCAATTCATATCAGTTTTAATTCTACTGCTCTTTATTGTAATACTTTAACAAGGTTCATCCACGTGTTCTTGGGAAATATGGCAGTAAAAATATATTAATAAATGAATTAGTAAGACAAGGCCAGGCACAATTTGGAGGGACAATTATCTAAAACCAGCTCTGATTTACTACTCATTTGTTCCAGCCTGTTACATCTCTAAATTTTAATTGTATTAAAAGTCATGCAGCAAATACACCTAGAGTGCAAAGGTAAGGGTGTGGGTGTGTTTTGTGGATGGGTGATATCGCCTTAACTGATTATTTATTAAGCAAACTTATAGATCTATCTTTCTAAAGAAACTCTGAACTGGAACATTTTTTTTTTTGTCCCTGCTCTTCATCCGATTGGCTGCAAGTCCCAATTCTACCAGATTAACTACCTAATTTATGTGTCCTCAACACAAAACTTGATTTTGCCCTGCAAATGACACTTCTTCTCACTTTGGAATCACAGCTCAAATCTGTGGGCTGCCTCCCTTTTCTTTCTAAGTGACTCACTGTGCTGAGTTAAACAGGAGTAGGAAGCAATCTTATGTAAAGACGGGGACAATTACTGTACCTGGGGGAATTATCTAAAAAAAAAAAGGTTTTGAGAAGAAAGACCAAGGACTGAATTTCAGTTCCCAAAATAGCCTGTTTGCTCCTATTAGCTTTATAGGTACTCCTCGACTTACGACAATTGAGCCCAAAATTTCTGCTGCTAAGCAAGGTAACTGTTAAGTGAGTTTTGCCCCATTTTATGACCACTGGCCACAGATGTTAAGTGGATCACTGCTCTTGTTAAGTTGGTGTGGGAAGTCAGCCTGCCCAGAGAAAGAAATATTTGGGGGGATATTAAAAAGGACAGAATATATTTTCCCAAAGGAATAATGGAAAAATCTTAGGCAGGAAACCCTACCCACCCACCCAAAGTCCCTGCCACAAGAAGAGGCCAGGTCTGTAGAAATGCAGATGTGATAATCCATTCAGAAAGACTGGAGCCAGGAAGCTTAGAGCTGATGGGATTAGAAAGATGAAGATCCCTAGAATCAACAACCCCTCACCCAAAAAACCCAACACAGGACATAGCCATCAGCCCCAGCCCCAGCCCCAGGGAAGCAGGACATGACCTTTAGGATATAATAGGATTAACTCATCACCATTAGAATACCAGAAAGGCACACTCAGACTCAGGTCAAAGTTCATGCCACAGGAACAACTCCAAACACAAAAGCCCAAGAAGGTATAAAAACCCACCACTCCCAACATGGGGTCAGCTTTCTGAGAACCACATTTCTGTCCGGCTCTGCTCTTTAATAAACGACAACCTTCTTTCTAAAGCAGTCTCCATTTTGTTTATTCCCGGCTTGGACTGGACCCTGATGAAGATTTTTCTTTCAACATTAGTAACATGGTTGATAAGCAAAGGTGGCTTCCCCATTAACTCTGCTTGTCAGAGGGTCGCAAAAGATGATCATATGGCCCCAGGACACTATCATACATATGAGCCAGTTGCCAAGCATCTTAATTTTGATCACGTGACCTTGGGGATGCTGCAATTGTTATGTGAAAAACAGTCATAAGTCACTTTTTTTCAGCACCCTTGTAACGTCACTCAACAAATAGTTATAAGTCAAAGACTGTATTGGAGGGAGGACTAGTTTTGCACCCGTGCATTTCCATATGCGTACTTTTTTGCCTATGCTTGTCTTCTCATACTAATGTGGGAA